ACTGCCTGATTTGCGACCGGATCTAGGGCAAGGGCGCGCCGGGCAAGAGGTGAAGACGGTGCGAGCGAGGACGGTCTAGCTGCAGTGGCGGGCCCAAAGGGTAGTGGCCCAAAGTTTATTTAGTACTCAGCATTTTCAATCCGTTAGCCTATAGAAAGTCTGGCCCAATAAAAAACTAAAAGAAGCCCATGTTATCGTAGTCACAGAGTGTGCGCAGTCACAGCCTGTTGGGCTCCTGCGTGGTGAAACTGGGGAGCAGGCGGGGCCTCCTGCCTGGGTCACGCGGCTTTACCTGAGTGGCTGGGCCGTTCGACGGCTCTCTCCCACTGGGGAAGCAGATGGGGACGCGCCTAGCCAGTATCGATGTCTAGTGCATGTGCTGCATGGCGCTGTGCTGTTGGGCTCTCCTGGAGTTTGCTAAGTGGACGTTGACTTCTCTTTTAAAATTAATATCTTTTGGATCCGAGCTCCCAATATAGCAAATAATATGTCTGTTTCGATTGTCTCGACGAGCTCTTCGCAATGGTGTACTCCAAAACTTTGTTTGATACTATTTTTCTATAAAATAAATTTCGAATTTCTTTTATGTCCAATCTCCGCCAAGTTCATGCTTTCATGACAATGAGAAAGCGCAAAGCAAAAGCCTTTAACTAGAACTTGTATTGTAATCTCTTATTTATATAAGACCTTATATAAGTTTGGTTAATTTATATAAGTTTTGAACCTTTCAATTGTATTATCTCAATTTGGTTAATTTATAGCCATTTTACCGAACTTTTTCTTTGAATTTTGTCGTGTTGCACATGAAATTTTTTGACTAGGACTACCCTGGTTTCAAATCCTGGGTCCGCCACTGTCTAACTGAGGTAGGGATCGGCGGCGGAGAGGCTTGGTGTGCTGCGGAACGGTGAGGTAGGCTTCTTAGCGTCTCACAATTTCTTTGTCAAAGTTCTTGTGATGTTCTGTTCTTGGTGACCCTCGTCGAGGGAGGAGTTCGATTAGCCCTTGATGCTTTGATTGACAGGAATACATGTGGGGATTAACATGTGGTGATTGAGATCAACTACTAGATAGGGCACTGATTAAATGAGAGAACGATGTGTCAGGCTAGATCGATAGGATAGGATGCTAGTTGTAGACACCAGTGCAGTGCTGATTCAGTAGTGTAACAAGTGGAAGAACTATATGGTCTTTGATGGATGTGGTCGGTAGTAGACACGAGTGCAGTGCTGATTCAGTAGTAGACACCAGTGCAGTGTTGACTCAGTAGGATGCTAGAACGTTGTGGTCGGTTTGAATGATGCTAGGAGTAGTTGACCATCAGTACATGTGGTCTTTGATCGGTTTGTAGCCTGACGGTTTGTTTTTCCTTTCATGTTTAATTAGCATACAAGTACATTATTGAAATGGATGGATAACAGAACGGTGTAGTATCAGGTTCTTTAAAAATGGTTATTTAACAAGTATAGGACTCCCATCGTCCAATATAGGCCCCGTTCGCGTGCCCTTAAACCCGGCTTGATCCGCTTATTTTTTCATCCGGAACAGTGTTTTTCTCTCACAAATTCCTCCAGCATTCCTCCAATCCATCCAGATTCCTCCATAATTCAGACAAGCGAACAGGCCCATAGTATTCATTTTCTAATGTTTTTTTTTGTACAACTTTCTAATTTATGCCATCAGATTTCTTATTTATATACTATCCTTCTTTAGACTACGAATGCTAGTAGATGCATTCATCCGATGGATATCGAAGAGGATAGAAGAACTGAAACTGATTCGGAGGAAGAAGACGAAGAAATAATGATGCTTGTTTTTCCAGCATTATATGCAGCTTCTAGTAGAGCTAAAACACCATGCTATACTTCAAAGCTTAGTGGTGCGGAGTATATATCTATCAGATTTTTATACATCTACTGTTTAAGTATACAACTATATATTACTTCCTCGTTCTCTTGCCATTATTTTATCAACAACCATGAGAATTCATTTTTTTCCTTTCTGGAAGCTATGTGATTGCAGGTTCCCTATTTAATCTTGAATTAGTTGAAACTCAACTGAAAGGTGTGTAGTGAGATTGGGGACCTCAGTTGGATCATCATGAACTATTTAATTTGCATTGCACATGGTAGCCAAATTGATAATCAGAATAGGAGAAATATAATCAATGGCAGCCTTTCAGTTAGCAGCAGGTTAGCAGATTTTAACTAGTAAAATCTATGTGACTGCTAACCTGCAGGTTAGCAGTAGCAGGGCCTTATCTAATCACTGTGCTATTGATCGTGGAACTCAAAGCAGATTTGGTGTCTAATTTAGTAATTTCTGAGCTCAAAAGCTGGAGGCAAATGAGTTGCTCAGTTGTGATGCATCTGAAGTATGAATATGGTCATGTTTGCTTCTAGCGTTTGCAGTTATGGATGCCACCTTCTAACTATGCAAATGCAGCTTTAGCCCATGTAAAAATGTACTAACTGCATGGAAAATAACTATAATACAAGCTCTTAGGTTTACTATCACCAAAGTTTGTTTATTTAGATTATACAGTGTATTTTATAACTCTATATATTTTGCAGGTTAGTGGCCGCAACATTTAAAGATGAGTTAAATATATCATTGATCCATTAACTTTTGTCTATGTTTTATTTGGGTCCATCAACTATGAAAGTGATTTTTCGGGTCCATAAACTTTTTAAGTGATGCATCTCTAGTCCATACCCTTAGTTTCTGTTTTTAATCCGACGTGCCTGTCCATAGTGGCGTTGACATGTCCTTGGAGGCAGTTGCGGCTCACGTGAGTAGAGGGCTGGTTGATGACCTCCTGGCACTGGTGGTGCTCGCCTGCACCGTCCACGGCAGGCTGCCACGCCGGCGCCCGGCGGTGGCGTGCGGCAAGGCGCTGCCACTGCCGCTGCCGCCGGAGTCGATGGACTTGGCGTACCGAAGCAGCTGCGGTGAGCAGTCGTAGCCTGGAGGAGATGCAGAGAAGGGCACGGGAGGTGTGGCCGCGGGACCAACGACCGTGAGGCGGACGGAGGGCGGCGTGGAGCCCCACGGCACGCGGGTGAGCGCCTCGAGCAGCGTCGTCCATCGGACACCGTGCGAGACGCCGATGTCCACGTCCGTGAACTTGACGGGGCTCGGTCTCCGCGCCTTTCGTCAACGCGGCCTGCGTAATCGCGGAGTTCGCGGGCTGACCTAGATGAACTTTATGGGCGAGGCTCGGAGCAACCGTCGGTTGGCGTCGGAGAACACCGGCGTCGGGCACTCGCAAGCTAGCCGCTTGGCGCACAGCGTGGGAGGCGTCGCGTGAGGGCGCGCAGCCCATGCGCGGCCTGTCGGTGGTTCGGTTCGCCGGAGAAGGAGGCCAGCTCGACGAGCACGTACAACAGGTGCTGCGTGCGCGGCATGTTCCCCACTTCGATGGCGGCCGCCCACACGTTCAACAGCTGCTCCGCCCACTGCACCTCCCTGTCCGGACTTGCTGCGGTGCCCCTGCCACTCCCCTTCTCGCTCGCCTTCGATCTGACGCAGCTCGCTCCCCGCCTCCCCCCTTTTGTTGATGTCTACTCTGTCCAGGAGCCGTATTCTCTGGAGACTTGTGTTTCTTGGGCTGCCTAAACTCTGGCTGCGATGTGCGAGGTCATTGGTGACGACGCAACGCTAGTACCAAGGCTCAAGCTTGGCTGGTGCAAGGTTGTGGCATTAGGTGGTAGCGTCTCCACAGCCATGCTGCTGACGTCGTGCTGCTCCTGTGCTTCCGATGCCGACAGCAGCGCCTTGCCGCACGCCCGCACGGCCACCCATCGACCCCGGTGGCAGTGGCAGCGGCAGCACCTTGCCGCACGCCCTCACGTCGGTACCAGCTCGGCGGCCCGCCGCTTCCTACCGCAGACGGCGCAGGCGAGCACGACAGGTGCCAGGAGGTCCATCAACCAGCCCCATGGCTCCAAAGACATGTCAGCGCCACTGTGGACAGCCACGTTATGTTAAAAACAGAAACAAAGGGTTATGGACTAGAGATGCATCGCTTAAAAAGTTCAAGGACTCGAAAAACCACTTTTACAGTTGATGGACCTAAGCGAAACATGGGCAAAAGTTAATGGACCAATGATGCATTTAACTCTTTAAAGATCATGCAAAATCGAAACATTTAAAGATCACACTATTGTTTGATGCTAGCAGTTCCTTCAACCATTAGTCAACTGTTTTTAAACATTATCTATGTCCTTGTATTTGAGCTTAGAAGAACATCTGAGCATGCCAACTTTGTTGGATCCTATTTGAAGGAAGTATGCGAATTTTGGCTCCTTGTTGGATATGAATTTTGTTGAACTTTCAGCTTGAACATGTCTTGTTTTCGAATTTTCTATATGCTCCATGTCATGATTGTGGTTACTGGCTTACTGAGATGTCCAGTAGTCACTGCTGCAGACTTTGGTTATTTGAGATGTCAGAAGCTCACAGCCTTCAGCCATTTGGGACTAGCGTCAGTGTGTGTGCGTGAATCCAGCGTCACTGTGTCTGTGTGTATGAATTCAGGAAACGCATGCAGTAGTGGCTATTCATTTTGGGCAACGAAGTCAATTTTTTTTACCTTCAATCCAAACAGCTTATTCCAAGGGAAAAGTATATACAACTATATCCTTGTGCACTAGAAATTACACCTGTAAACCAATTACATATCAATAAAAATACCATTCTGCCAAACAGGACCTAAGAAGAAGAAAAAAGCTATCGACTCACGATTCCGTTAATTGGATAACTCTTCAACGTCCCTAGAGCACACGTAGTTACAGTAGTATGGTATCACTTGACGTCGACCTATAGCACTGAGTAGTACGGCTACAGTGTCATTTTACCAAATTTTTCGCATCTAAACTGGGCCCTAGCTAGCTAGGATACACAACTTGCGGATCGATCGGAAAATTTTCGAAAGGAAAGAGAGCTGGCTAGCTACAGCTAGCGTTTACAAAGTCCAGACTTGTGACTCTGAGATTTTGTCACTTTGCCTGCCCCTGCACCGTGTCTGCCGTCGCTGCATGATGCACCAGGCCATAGCCACAGCCCTTTTTCCCTGTGCGTCTTGTGACCTCGCGTACGAATGTACACTCAGGCCTTTCGTTCATCATCATGGACCACTGGGTCTGGGTAATGCATGCAAACGGCTGCTGCTCACCTTGAAGCTGATGTTCTTAGCGTTGAAATAGTTAGCGAGAATGGTTACTGAGGGGGTGTTGTAGGTGCGGAGCGGCTGCCCGTCGGGGCCGCGGTCGCTGGCCCGGTCGTGCCACTCCATCACCGTCACGTCGCGCCCGGCGCCCTGGAACGTCATGTACGGCTTCGACGCCGGCACCACCACCTTCTCTCTGCACGCACGCACGCACATATACACCCCGGCCGGCCCGTCAGGAAATGAACGAAGCTCGATCAGCCTCAGCGAATGAAAAGGGCCAGAGCTAGATAGCTAGCAAACTTACATGTACGTGCCGGCGTTGATCTGCATGATGACGCGCATGGTGTTGCCCTCCGGCACCGAGTCGACGGCCTGCTGGATGGACACGAAGTCGCCGGCGCCGCTCGCGTCTACCACGATCTTCCGCACGCCCACCGGGTGCTTGTACCGGTGGCCGGCCGGAGTGCCTTGTGTACTCGCACTTCGTCGCTGCCTGCTGGCTCGCGATCGGCGGCAGGAGGCTCGAGATGGTGACCAGCACCAACAAGAGGATGCGAGCCATACTCCTTCGCGAAACTAGCGCGAATTATTCTAGCTCGTTGCAACAATGTCCGTAAGTAGCTTGCTAGTGATGATGAGGTTCCTTTGGTATGCGCGTGGCCTGGCCTTGCGATACACTAGCTTGAATGTGTCTTGTCAACCTATCTATCACTCTTCTATCAGTCTTGGGCTGTTTGATAGGACTGAAAAATAAATCAAAATACTGTTTCAACTTATCATTGTAAAACAAAAGTTGTTATATCTAAAAACACTATGTAGATAAACAGTATTTCTGGTCAGCCCAGCCCCAGCTGGCCGACCAGCCGAACACTCGCCTAGCTTTCTCTCACCCTCTCCCTCTCTCTCTCTCTTCACATGCGCAACAGGGTCTTGTTCGGCTGATCTCAAACCCGGTTTTGATTCGTTTCTTTTTTCATTCGAAGTGTTTCGTAAACGTTAACTTTCAGCCGCTACAGTGCTGAGACGACGGAGAGCGAGGCGAGGTAGCTACCACACGGGCTCTACTGCGGTGCAGCTGTGCACTGCTGCACACTCTGCGCCTTGTCCCTCTATTTTTTAAAAAGCTAGCCCTGCGGTAGCCTGTCCTTGGCAGTTCTTTGCTCAGCGCCATCTAAGTTATCGGTCACGTAAACATCACCTAGAATACCATAATGTGCACGGCTAGACACCTCAGAGCCAAGATCTATGACGTCGAGACATGTTATCTCGACACCAACGTCTATAGTTAAAAATAAATTTAAGTCTCTCAAAAGGCTAAACATAAATTTTCTTAAAAAAAAGAACCAAATTGTAAAAAATTCGATCGATCGTGCTGGGCCATTTCATTTGAACCTTGTTATTTATCCACTCAGCTCCCGTGCTTGTCGAACGGTGGTTGCAGACCCCCCAAGCTGCTGATGTCTCGTCAATTCCGGCGAAGTGTGGTCCTGTTGATTTCATGGACAATGTGGGAGAGAACGAAATGACAGAACCTTCATTGGTGGCACGTCCTTATTGGTTCAGTTGATGGACTCTATCGCCTCTGAGGCTAACCGCCACCCTAGCTCTCTGGTGCACGGCCGCACGGCAGGATTCAGGAAGCTGGAGTTGCCGACCTTGTTGCTTTGATCAGTTTGCTTCCGAGTAGAGCTGTGTTTAGGGGTTGTTTGGTTTTAGGTGGTGTTTAGTTTCCAAAATTTTGCAAATTTTTTTAAGATTTTTCGTCACATCGAATCTTTGACGCATGCATGAAGCATTAAATATAAATAAAAAATAAAACTAATTACACGGTTTAGACGAAATTTACGAGACGAATCTTTTAAGTCTAATTAGACTATGATTGGACACTAATTGCCAAATAACAACGAAAGTGCTACAGTACCGTTTCCCAAAATATTTCGCCAACTAATCAAGGCCTTACAGCGTGTTCGTTTCAGCTGAATTACTCGTATCTGGCTTATAAGACATGGCTTGAATAATATTTTTCTCTCACACCAAATCAGCTAGCAGTACTTTCAACCCTGGCTTATAAGTCAATCCAGCCGAAACGAACCTGCTGTTAGGCCACGTTTTGCCACGCCCAGCTGCGGCGAGTTGTGACGGCGCCGCAAGTGTGCCGGCAAAATCCAACGCCACGCTCTGTGGCGAGAAATAAGTGTGCTAGTGTTGTGGTTGTGGCTGCCTAAGGTTGCGTATGAACAATACACTGACTTAGTCCCTGTTCGGGCTGGTAAGAAAAAAAAACACTGTCCATGCTAAAAAACATGGTTCTGGCTAAAATATTACAAGAGAAAAACACTGTTTCGAATAAAAAAAAAGTTGAACAAGCCGGTTTTAACAGCAGCCGAATGGGGGTTCAAATGAAATGACTGATGATGTTGTCGTTTCTTTCTAGGTACTATGTATTTTTTGGGTTATGGTTGTTCCGTTTCTTGCCCGCCTGTGGTAAGCCAAGGCTTGCTTGGGGTGGCTGTCTTGTATTGTGCTAGTTTCAATTGAGGAACAACCACGCCTAGTAGTGAGCATTTGAGCAATATTCTGTTTTGTAAGATAGCTCACAAAAAATATTTCTTTGAAAAAAGGAGTTATCTCCAGCCTCTACATGCAACCTTGTTTAGGGTTTTATGACAAAGTTAATTCAGATAAACAACAAATCAAAACATGGAACTGAAGACCGAAAATTAAATAAAGCAAATTCTATTATGAAAAATGATATAAATTTTATCTTCATCCGGCTTCATTTGAAAAGATTGTAAATTTATTTGTATTGGAGATATTTCTAAGGGCGGTTGACTTAGCTAACTGCCTTCAAAATCGATTTCCAGGGACGGTTGACTTCACTCAATTTCAAAGACGGTTGACATAAGCAAGCACCCTGAAAAATTATATTTTTAAAAGCGGTTCTCTTAAGTCTCACCTTGAAAGTAGATATATTTTTAGTGACGGTTTACAACGCTCACGAAACTAGTTACAAAAGGTTTGCTAAGTAACCCGTCCTTAAAAAAATAGGAGGCGTATGTAAAAAATAATTTTTTATACAAGTACATGTACTAGTAATTTTTTACAAGATTATCTCCTAGAATTGTGTTGTGTTAATTTGGGTTTCTTTCTTTCACAGGTACTAGTTTCTGACTTAGTTCACAGTTTGAACTTATCAGCCTGGTTTATTAGTCATGGTACAATATTTTTTCTCTCATAACAAAATAGTATCAGCCGGCTTATCAGCCACACAAACCATCACCAAACAGTCCGTCACACACGCTTGCGCACAAAATGATTAACGGTGAATTGGCGATCCTGATGCATGTAATGGCCCAACAAGGTAATAAAACAACTTTTCTTCAATTAGTATGCTTCAAAATATGGAATATGGTGCCCGAATTATATTTATAGTCTATAGTTGAGGGCAAGTGTGGCTGGGACTTGGGAACAACCACTCACATGCTCACTACTCATGTGAACACTTGCGACTTGTGGAATGTAGCTCGAAAAAGAAAAAAAAAGGAAAAAGGGAATTATCTCCCGCCTCTGCATGCAACCTTGTTTGTTTGTTTTGGACAAAGTTAATTCAGCTAAACAACCGATCAAACACATGGAACGTGATTGACCTACAACCATTACACTACTGCTCCGTTGTTCTCCAACAATCGAAGTCTAGATGAGAGTTCTCCGACAATCGAAGTTACCATACATATTGGAGGATCTGGCTGCTTATACATACATCACAAGTCACAACCAATCAAACTGGAACTGCAAATTGAAGAATTATAATTAAATTAATGAAGCGAAGTCTATTATTATTCCTCCATATGCCCTTATAGCTCACAGAAAGCATGCCACACAGTTACACACAGTAGCAAATGTTTTGAATTTGTAACCTTTTACAACAGATAATTTAGAAGGGTCTCCTCTTATTGACCCATATATCTAATATTTTGTCGTGGTCCACCATTTATTTAATGCCACGAAAACCATAAGCAAAGTCGACATCCTCACTGGCACGCAAAGCACGTGACAGAACTACGTGCAGTACGTATGACACACAGCACTGTGCATGATGGATCAGGGCTTGACGACGCTGCCATGGCCCACGGCGGAGGAAGCCGCCCTCGTCAGCGAAGTGAACGTGACCACGGGCTCCACGGGGCTCTCCTCGACGCTGGCGACAAACGTGTCGTACCGACGGAACAGCTCCGCCACCATCAGCCGCCCCACCGCCACCACCGCGTCTTTCCCGGGGCACTGCTTGTTCCCCTCCGCGGCCGCGCCGGTCTCCGGCCCGTTCGACCACACCACGTGCTCCAGCATCCGCCGCCGCTCATCGTCGTCAGAACATACAGCGAACCTGTCGGGGACGAACTCGCGGCCGCGCTGGAACACGCGCTCGTCGCGCGTCGCCAGCGGCTGGTACCCGAACACCATCTCGCCCTTCTTCACCTCGTACGCCGCGTCGTGGCTCTCCACCACCGTGTCCCGCCGCGCGCGCCCGTACTGGAACTCCACCGGTGGGTTCATGCGCAGCGTCTCCCACACGAACGACTTCACCAGCGGCATCTTCTCCACGTCCGACAGGGTGATCGTCGTGCCCGGCGGTGGGACGACGGCGCGGACCTCGGTGGCGAGCCTGGCGTGCAGCTCCGGCCCGCAGCGCGCGAGCCACTTGACGACGTGCGGCAGGAAGATCTTGTACCCGCCGTAGGCGTTGAAGATGGCGAGGAAGATGAGGTTGTGGAGGAGCTCGTCGCGCGGGACGGCGGCGCCGCCCGGGTCGGCATTCTTCTCGGCGTCGTCGAGGACGCCCGCCGCGACGTCGGCGAAGTAGGCCGTCAGGTCGGCGTAGTCGCGGCGCACCAGGAAGGGCGGGAGGCGGAAGGTGTGGAGGAGGAGGTCCTCCAGCAGCCACGGCCTGATGGCCTTGCTCGCGAGCGGGTGGAGCTGGAAGGCGAGCCACTTGTACGCCTTCGCCGCGGCGCCGTCGCCGATGGCCTTGCTCGGCGGCCTCCCGCCGAACAGCGCGGCGCAGGTGAAGTCCAGCATGTGCCGCATGTTGTGCTTGTTGAACTCCACGCCCGAGGCGGCGGCGCTCGCCCCCGCGAGTTCGGCTTCGACGGCGTCGAACGTGGCGGTGAAGGCGGCGGCGAACGCCGGCGCGACGTGGTGCATCCGCTCGGCCGCGAGGCGGATCACGACGCGCTTGAGCGCGGCGTGGCGCGGGTCGGCGCCGTCGAGGAACGCGAGCGGGCGGTGGCCGCCGAAGAGCGCGAGTGAGGGCATGTAGGTGCCGTCGAGCGTGCCGTCCTTGTCGACGCGGGAGTCGTCGAGGAGGACGCGGAAGCTGCGCGCGTCGAGGACGGCGACGACGCGGGGGTCGCCCGAGAGGAGCGGGCCCGGCGGCATGTTGACGCGCAACACGGTGGCACCGCCGTGCTTGGCGATGCGAGAGCGGAAGTACTCCTCCGCGCCCTGGAAGTAGAAGTAGTCCAGGCGGTCGCGCAGCGGCGAGAAGAAGGGCACGCCGTAGCTTCCCGGGATCTCGCGGACCGGGAGCCCAGAAGGCGACAGCTTCTGCTGCTCGTCGCCGGCGTTGGCTCGTTTCGATGCCATGGCTGGGGAAGAGAGAGCAGCAGCAGGGCAGCAGAACAATGTACTCTCTAGTACAGGGATGACACACAAGAATTTGGAAGGCATACATGGATGACCAGCTAATAAAAACTCTCTGCCTGCGGCTTCTAGAAGGTCAGCCTGCGTGCGGCATGCCACAGGACGGATACAATTATCTACGACATGCATTGTTCACCGTTCATTAGTTAGGTTTTGTGCTGATCAATGTCCAATTAATGTCATCCCGAGTTTCCGCAACTGACATCCACAGCTGCGCATGCAAATTAAAGGGAGGGAGGCATCTCAACCCATACTATACTAGGCCCTTGTTTAGTTGGAGTCTAAAATCTCAAAAAGTGCTACAGTATCTGTCATATCGAATGTTTGCGGCTCATGTATGGAGTATTAAATATAGACGAAAAAAAAACTAATTGTACAGTTTGGTGGGAAATTACGAGACGAACGTTTTGAGTCTACTTAGTCCATGTTTGAACAATAATTGCCAAATAAAAACGAAGGTGCTACAGTAACCCCAAATTCCAAATTCATGGAACTAAACAAAGGCCAGTAGTAGTTGCTAGCTGCTCGATCGTTGGCCGATCCAGTCAAAATCTGGTCAGGGGTAATCATTCTTTTCTTGTGTTAACTCTTTTCAAATTTGAAATGATGGACCGTAATTTAGGGCAGTCCTAATGGTGTATTGATGATGGTTTATATTCTCATTAAATGATTTGGCATGTAGGTAAAATGCTGACATGGCAACGTAGTTAACGAAGAAAGAGAGAAAAAATCATAGAAATGGTTTCCTCATGAAGAAACTAGGTCTTCTCTTGACCCAATGCACCAAGAAACCATGAAATCGTCATTGGGGAGAAACCACTAGTTTCTAGGGGACTCGTGCCGCACTCATTGGAGGAAGAAGATAAAGTTGGGAGAGAGAAAGAGAAAATAATTATTACTCATAGAAACCATGGGTTGAAAAGCAGTACTTTTTTGGTGCGGTATCCTATGTTATAGAAACTACTAGTTTCTTTCATTGGGACTGCCCTTACGGAGCCCCTTCCTGGGTGACACAAGGCGATCTCGTTCCCGACCTCGATCTAGTTCACCTCGTCGGTGAAACTAGATTTTCTCCGTCGGTGACCATCCTGATCACGGCGTCCACGCCCCGCCTACCGACACTCAGTCAACGGCAGTCACTGCGAATCGCCGGTTAGCCGATCTTGGCGCCAGACCACATATTTTCCAAAACCCTATTTCCCCACTAGGGTCTAATAAGTGCTGCTTAGGTTTAGTGTCGGGATGAGTTTTGTGTCTGCTTCGATCTCCGTTGCAGATCACTATCTTGTTTCCCCCTCCATACCAGATCATATACAGCGGCTGCAGGAGGTGGACGGAAGGGGCGTGTGGATGATAGCCCTAACCATAATGCGACTGATCTTTATTTTGCTGAGGCTTAACCTGACCGAGGAGGAAGAAGCCATGGTTGACTTCAGTGATGGTTGACTTCAGTGATGACGAAGGAGAAGGAGAACCACCGTTGGTGGAATGGGTGATCATAGGGAAGGTTCTATCCCGATGGCAGTCCATGTGAATACGGTCCGCGCGGCTATGAAGCTGGCTTGAGGTAACCCTATTGGTCTGAAGTTTCGGGCCATCGGAGAGAAGGGAGACAACTTGTTCATTGCAGAATTTGGAAGTAGTGTGGATATGGACAGGGCTTTGGCTAGATCTCCATGGATGGTGGGAAGATATGCGATTATCCTAAAACAATATGGCCCCGTTCGCTGGTCTGAAACTTAGCTGAAAACACTGTTCCGGCTGGTTTGTTGCAAGAGAAAAACACTGTTTAGCTGGTTTGATGAACAGTAACTTGAGAGGGGGATCAGCCGGCTGGCTGAAATAACAAGACCAGCGAACAGCCCCTCGGATGGATGAATCAACAGAGGGGAAGTCATGCCATGAGTTTGACCGGCCAAGTTATAAAGATGAATGTGGATTCGGATAGGAAGGCTAGCGGGGCATTCCTGCACGCTCGAGTGGCAATTGAGATTGATAAACCCTTGCATCGGGGATGCTTCTCCGTATGAGTAGGATGGAAGATGGTTTCAAGCATAGTATGAAAAACTTCCATTCTATTGCTTTGCATGTGGGGTGATGGGTCACTCGGAGATGGAGTGTCTACATCCCGTTCCTCGTGATGATGAAGGAAAACTGTCGTATGATGTCCAATTGAGGGCCCCAGAGAAGAGAAGGAGGTTGCAATCCTTCACTAGGGCAGCAGCAGCGTGTTTTGGGAGCAGTTCGTCTTCTGCATCAAAACCTCCTAAGGCTCAATACAGCAGATCCGGGGATGGCCGGTCTTCATGTGGGGGAGACGGATGTAACACCCTAAAATTTGCATCAATTTAAAATACTTAATTTGATTTAATGATGTATTTTATGAGCATTTAAATTTAGAAAAATAATAACTTTGTTAAAAATAAAATCAAATATAGGTCTACATACATATGTGTGCATCCATGCTGCTGCATCTTTATTTTGTGATGCTTTGGTTTGATTGAAATTTGTAAAAGAATTTGAATTTGAGTTTAAATTGGATCTGAAATTGTGTTAAGAAAATAGAAAAGGAGTTTTGTTTTTCTTCTCTATCTCGATTTCGGCCCTAGCAGGAGTTTTGTTTTTCTTCTCTATCTCGATTTCGGCCCTAGCAGCCCAGCTCCAGCCTGGCTCCCTCTCCCGCTGTAGACCAGCTTGGCTGGCTTCCCTACGTTGCCTGGCTTTCCCGCCGCGCCTCGCTCTTCTCCCGCTTTAGCCCATCCAGCAGGCAGGCCCAGCAGCAGCCGCGACGCCGCTCTCTCTCTCTCTCTCCCCTGTGACGCTGACGGTCCGGCCCCAACTGTCAGACGCCTTCCCTCACCTCTAGCTCGAGTCTAGGCTGGACTCTCCGCCGCCGCTGAGTCAGAGTCCGCGCCGCCCACGCCTCCTTCCTTGCCTTGCACCCCACGTTGCTTCCCGACCGTAAATACCGGATGCCCGCATCTTGCCGCTCCCATCTCGAGCTTTGGAGCTGCTGCCGCCTCACCAAGACGCCGAGCCTCGCCCAGCCCTAGCGCCGCCACCATCACCGCCGCTGCCATCGCCGAGCGCTGCTTTTCATGCTGTCGCCGACCGCGTGAACTACTTGGGTGAGTTCGCCTTGCTCTCCTCTACCTCCCGGTGTTTTCGGTTCGTCCAGCCGTGGTCCATAGGTCATATCCCATGTACATCGCCCGCTCCGGCCATGGCGCCGCCGTCGGGGCTCGCCGCCGACCTCGCTGGCGTTTCTTTTCCCCTCCCATCTGATATGCACCGTCCAATCTTGATCCAACGGTCCAGATTCACCCGTACCCCTGCACTGCGATTTTTGTTAAAGAGCCACTGAAGTTTTCTAGAATAGAACCTGCCGTCCTCACATTTTTTCTTAAGAACCCCTGTAATTCTTCATTTTCATGCCCACGGTCCCTAGCTCGGTTTAAAATCTGATTTTATTTATTTAAATTCTAAAATCAAGTTTCATCTATTTATGGTTTTGCCACTAATCTTGTTTTAGCCATAAAATCTTTGTTTTAACTCCGATTTGGTCCGTTCAAGTTGCGTTAGGTTCGTAATTGCATAATCTACATGTTCATACTACTGTTAGATATGTTTTCAACTTTTAAAATTGAAGGTTAGATTTAATCTATTATTTTATTAAAGGAAATCTTGTTTAATTCATAACTTATTTGTTTTAGCTCCGATTTTTGTGATCTTCGCGTCTGTGTGTAGACGTAGATTCGTTTTACAAACTTTTCATCTTGATTTTATATTGTTGGTGTACTGTTCTAATCTATAGGCTTTGTTTGCTATGCATGATTGCTTCTGGATGCTTGTATGATGCTGTGATTATCGAGTATAGATGGTGAGCAATTCGTGGGTGATCAAGAGTACTACTTTAACGAGCAGAATCAACAGTACTTTGTTCAAAGCAAGTATAGCATGGGATCATCCTTGTTTCCTATCAACTTTAATATATTTAATTCTTATTTGCTTATGTCACCTTGATAGGGATTCCTTAAAATTGAACTTATACCTTGTCTCATATGTAATATGCATTGGGTAGCTTTGCTAGTGCTCAACTAAACCATGATCTTGTAACTTGACTAATGGTATATGCAATAAACATTAAAACATGACTTTTTTAGCAACTTGAAAAATGGGGGCTAGAGTGTTTAGCTACTTTCTAAATGCTTCAGATTCTTCTCCCTAAGGACTTATCTGTAAGTGATCATTCGGGACTTACAGTACAGCTGTGAGAGCTACATGGCTCTGGCTTTAGCTCAGTATGATGACCTTTTCTAGCTTGTTAGAGGTTACCTTTATTGACGTAAGAATGGCTTGATGAATCGGGTATAGTGCGGCCTCTATCCCCTTGAGTATAGGCTGCACGTCATTGTGCCATCGGGAAGGGGGCTCTACATCTGTTTGCCGAGTGAATCTAATAGCCCTAACTTGTTAGACGAACTTTTGAAAGGCTTCATAGTGAACCATGCCTGCTTACCTTAGAAGTGTTTTGAGAGTTATAAACCCAGGCATATGGGTATCACAACTCACAGTGAAAGTGTACAACCTCTGCAGAGTGTAAAACTGATATATCAGTTGTGCTCACGGTCACGAGCGGCCTTGGAATATTTACGGAATAGATGACCACTAAAAATTATCCGTTTATGCTATTCATTATTCTTGTTTACATTGATCATGTGTTTACTACGGGATTAAAACAACTTGTTGCTACTCTTATACTGAAATTGTGACAATTAAAAGTCGAATGCTGTTAAACCTGTGTCAAGTCTTTTGAGCCTCATGAACCCCATGTCACACTTGTTGAGTACGACACGTACTTACGCTTGTTTGTTTTCATTATTTGGATAAAAATCACGGATGAGTAACAGATGGCTATGGTAATGACGACTTTTCTGAGGATT